ACACCTCCTCCTCCGCCGCTGCCTGGCGGCCCTCGCTCCTCCTCCGCCTGCCTGGCGGTCCTCTCTCCCGCCGGCGAGCATGGCGACCCACAAGCTGTCCTTCTCCGAGCGTCCTCACCAACCAGCTCTCTCTACATCACGCTTGTAACCATGCTGCCTTTCCAGCACCAAGCTGCATTGTACATCCAATACAACATGTATATAGAGAGCACATTGTGAGTTTCCTTTCTCAACCTCATCCTGAGTGTGAACACAAATATCTCATACCCCACAAATGGTGACTCCCGGAGATTCGCACTCACACAGGATGGAGGAGAAACTGATCACGCTCCCAGTCTTCAAGCAACATGGAAGACTGGCTTATCCACCCAGAAGCAGCTCTTGTATGTATATTATGTATGCTGGATTATATATTATGTATGTATATTATGTATGTGCTCCATTTATGTATTATTCATTCAACCTAGCTAGCAGCGTGTGGCAATGTTATTACCATATCCCACATGCTTAATTAATGTGCCCGGCGACGTATGGAAGCTGCTAATGTATCACTTGCCATACGTCGTCTATAGCAGTTGACAAGGAGCCTAGCTGAGGAGAGCACTACTCCCCTTTGTGTACATACTCTTATCCAGTAAACCGAACCTACAAAACTATACAGGTGTTTGTGTTCTCTCCTGTATATAGAACTTATTATAAAGAACCTAACATGGCGCAGTGCGTAGTTTTACTGGATTATTACGAGTGATAGTGCGAACTTTGTGGAAAGCCGGCTTATGGACTCCTTCCCTGTGTCAACCAACCGCCAACCGCCACCCGTCCTCGAAGAATTTAGCAACTTTGAGCAGTGTCAGTGACAGTGATTTTCTGTGAAGTGTTTAGTGCATTGTGTGTTTCGTGCCATTCATGTGTGACCTTGTTTTAAAGGATTTCCAAGGTATACGGCATGTTCTGGGCATTTGTGGGGAGTAGAGTTCAGCGCACCCTTCTCTGCCTGTTTCCAGAGGGTGACTGAGCTCCTCGCTGTCTCCAACCCCCCCCCTCACAGCGCCGCCTCCACCCCCCTCACAGCTGAGGCGAGACGCTCTGCCTGCCCGGGACACACACACACACATACATGCACTAACACTTGCTGACCGCGCGGCTTTCTTATATATATTTTATATATATAACCTACTTATCTGTGTATTTAATTAATTTTTTTTGTCTGAAATCTTGTTGATACGACGGGCTGACCGGTCAACACTGATTTAAGACACAGTACACAAATGAAGTAGTTATGTCTCATGCCTTACGTAGCCGTGGACCCAGCGCCTGGATGAGTCAAGCGGATGATAGTCCCCCAGAGATGGATGACCAAGCCGGCCACGACGCTCCAGCCCCCACAACATCGCGCAGTCCTTCACCTCAATATTCAGCATTGTCTCCAGAGATAATTGCTTTACTGAAGTTTATGAGAGATGAGAGACGCGAGGATGAAGCTCACAGACGTTTGGCGGATGAACACAGAAGGCAAGCAGAGGCAGAACGAGCCCACCAACGGAGATTGGAAGACAGTGCACGGTTTGAAGCCTTGATATCTCGCCTCACTGTTAACCAAGCCCCTGGCTCTAACACTGCCTCGGTACTGACTGGTTCAGATACCTCATCCATGCTTCCTTCACGCCCCCCAGCCCCACCTAAAGCAGCAGCTCAAACACCGCCCATCTTGAAGCCTGATGTGAACTTCCAGACTTTTCGTGAATGGCGGCGACGGTGGACTGATTATTCTACAATGGTGGATCTCCAGAGTTTGTCACAGCCTAAACAACTCATCCAGCTGCGTATGTGCCTGTCCTTGGAAGTTCAGCGTGTTTTAGAACATACGTTGCAGGTACCCCCAACCTCTTCGCTGTCTGTAGAGGAGGTACTGGACGTTCTACAACGGCACATCAAAGGACAGCAGAATGAAGCTCTGCGCAGGAGGGAATTGTTTAGCTGCAGACAGATGGAGGGTGAGTCTTTTGACGCTTTTTATGTACGTCTTAAGAGAGCCTCGGAAGAGGTAGATATATGTTTAGGCCACCACCAGCAGTGCGAGGAGACCCAGTTGAAGCAGGTGATCTTGATGGGTGTTAAGGACGAGGAACTTGTCCAACGCCTCACCTCCCTCGACTCTTCCTCTTCTCTTCAGGATGTGTTGACGATATGTCGCTCCTATGAGGCTGCCAGGTGTGCCACCTCTGCCATCCGTGCTCCCCCTACAACTGTACGCGCTGTTTCCCGGTACAAGAAGGACAAGAAGTCTGCTCCTACGTCTTCGCCCACCACGTCCACGCCCGGTTCATTTTGCAACAACTGTGGTAAGCAGCACGGAACACAGGTGTGTCCAGCTGCTCAGTCTACCTGCAACAGTTGTGACCGTAAGGGCCACTGGTCGCTCACAGTGCGGTGCCCAGCTAAGTACGTACAGTGCAATGTGTGCGGTCGTCTGGGCCACTATGACAAGTGTTGCCCTACCCACAAACCCAGGGGTTATTGCTGGGCCGGGGTCGGCGTCTGAGGCAGGACGGGTGTGCTGGGGTCGTCAGAATGTGGTGCGTGAGGCAGGAAGAGGAGCCGGTGTCTGCTTGAAGACTGGGAGCGTGATCAGTGTCTCCTCCATCCTGTGTGAGTGCTAATCTCCGGGAGTCACCATTGTAGGGGTATCGAGATATTAATGTTGTCTAGCACTCAGGATGGAAGGAAACTCTAATGTGGTTTTCTTGTATAATATAAGTTATATGATAGACAGTCTGGTGCTGGAGGTGCCGTGTGGTGAGGGGCTGCTCAGTGGAAGACGTTCGATGAGTAGCGTGTTGAAGGAGGTAGATGTGCAGGAGCTTCGTCAGAGAAGATGTTGCCTGTTGCTGGCCTCCTGGTTGAATGAATGTTAACAGCGTGGAGCTTGCTGGAGGAGGTGTTGCTTGTTCAGGAAGATGGGTAGAATGAGAGCCGGTTGGTGAGGAAGCTCAGAGAAGGACAGCTGGTGGGTCGCCATGCTCGCTGGCGGGAGCGAGGACCGCCAGGCAGGCGGAGGAGAGGCTAGGGCAGCCAGGCAGCGGCGGAGGAGGAGGTGTTGCTTGTTCAAGAAGAATGGTCAGAATGAATCTCAATGGAGAGACAGAGCTTATATACCCAGCAGCAGCCACCAGTCCTCTATGAATCATGTTGGGAAAACCCAGAAAGTCGCCGGTGACTAGTTCCGTTGCTAAGATACGGTAACATCTGGTTGGTTGCTAGGGAAGGCGGTAGCAGGTGGTGGCTGTGGCTACGCAGTTGTAGGAAGTTGTAGGGGAGACGTCCACTACAACCTTGACGTCTTCGTAGAACACCATGGCTGTGTGTGTGTGTGTGTGTGTCTCTTCCCTCTGAATGTTCCATGGGCACAGCTCAAACGCAGCGTCTGCGCATACAGAATAGCTAACGCGTTAGCTGTTCCGTAAATCGAAAACGCCTTACAATAAACGCCTATAATGAGGTGGAAAATTGGAATGAGAAGAGGAAGGGATAATGGAATATGAAAAAATCCATCACCTAGAGAACAGAGAAAGACCTGGAGCAAGGTAAAGCGTTAGTTGTTACTTAAAGACACAGGCAGGCAGAGAGATGCAGGCAAAACAATAAAAACAGCCACATAGAGACAGAGAGGCAGCGGGACGATAAACAAGAAACATTCATAATCACCCACTTAGAATGAGAGCTGAAAGGGCGAGGACAAAGAGAGATAAGAGATAATAAATTGGAAAACAAGGCGAAAGAGAGAGAGAGACAGGTGTGCAAGGATAATGTGGTTCGTGGAAGAGTTGTCTAAAACAGTTACAGTACAATTCCGGGTAAAAACAAAAATTCACAGGACTCCGTGTGTAACCGCCAGTCAGGCGGTTAAAGGATATTCAGACTCTTTACATTGGACACAAATATTATAATTCGGTCAAACCTGTTGAATACAATTCATTTAGTATTTCAAATAAGTCATACATAGGCACTCCTACATAAGTGTTTAATCCAATATATATTTACATAACAATCATGGCTATGTAATTAGTCTAATCTTAACACTTACAATGAGTACTCAATTTGCCATATTTCTATATCGGCACACTGATAAATGATGCAATGGACACAGTCTACCTGTGTACACAATAAGTACTAGTTAAACTTACGTGTTGAAAGTCTAGAGAGAAACCAAGGTAGGTGTTGACTCTAAGATATGGGTAGCTATACTGAAATGCCCACCCTATAGCCTGGCCCCCTGGCTGGTCAGCTATGGCTGAGTCAGGTGATTATAATTATACATAAACAAACTCCCTTCACACGCTCCAAACTCCTTCTGGGCCTCTCATCTCCACCATCTTCGTACTTTACATACTGCATACAGGCAGGCACACCCAGTAAACATGACATGACTTACAGCCTAACATAATGTTTGTTTATGTGTTTGCTGCTTGTGGTAACACCCACTCCGTTGAGCGTTCACTCTCAATACCATGTCAGGCCTTTGATACTTAATGCTTTGTCCCGTTCTTGTGACCATGGTGCCCTCAGGCTGGTGGGATTCAACTTTAATTTTGTCACGTTCATGTGACTATGCTGCCCTCAGGCTGGTGATATTCAACATTAATTTTGTCACGTTCTTGTGACCATGCTGCCCTCAGTCTGGTGGTACTTATCAGCTCCTTAGGACATCTCGGTCCTTTGACGTTCGGACATCACTGTCTTCATATGTGGATACCCATTTCATTCTCCTGGCCGACTCCATCAGCCCTTTCCATTGCTCCCTCCAACAAGCATAATTTTGTCACAGGTCGCAACATTGTGGACGTCGTCGTCTTAACCATTGCCTTTTGTACAAGTCCATCCTCGCCAGCCTTGACTTCCATCACTCGACCAAGGTGTCATTTGTTGCATGGACTATTTGCTTCTCTTATAATGATTAGGTCACCAGGGCGAAAGTTGCGCCGTGGTCTGAAATGCACCTGTCAAGTTCTGAGTTGAGGGAGGTACTCCGTCAGCCAGCGCTTCCAAAATTGATCTGCAAGGTACTGGACATGCTTCCACCTTCTGTGGTATGATTCGCCTATTGACCTTCCACCTAAGGGAAGATTACCCTCTTGTCTTAAGTGCAAAAGATCAGCAGGCGTGAGAGCCTTTGGTTCACTTGGAGTGTTTGGAACCAGGGTGATTGGCCTCTCGTTAACTATGGCTTCCACTTCACAGAACAGTGTTTGCAGACGTTCATCGTCTAAAACTTGTGAGCCCACAATAGCCTGCACAACCTTCTTTACTGTGCGAATCTGCCTTTCCCATGCTCCCACCATGTATGGGGCAGCTGGTGGATTGAAGACCCAGTCAATGTCTGCTTTCAGTAAGGCACCTCTGAGTCTGTCATCTTGCTCCCAAATTTTCACTGCTAGTTTGAGCTCCTTGGCTGCCCGTACCATGTTTGTCCCATTATCCGACCTAATACGCTCTGGTGCACCTCTGCATCGTGAGAACCTTGTTATTGCGTTGAGGAAGGCATCTGCGTCTAATGAGGCCAAGACTTCTAGATGAACAGCCCTAATAGTTAGACATGTAAACAGACATCCCCAGAACTTGATCTGTTTCCTCCCTACCTTGATAATGAATGGACCAAAACAGCCCGTTCCAGTGTAAGCAAATGGAGCCTTTCCAGGACTGACACGATCTATTGGTAAGTCAGCTTGCCTTTGATGCCGACTTCTCCAGTTGTTCCGTCGTCACACGACACAGCGTCGTATGATTCTATCAAGCAAGCGTCTGCCCTGGGGAAACCAATACCTTTGCTTCACACACGCCATCGTGTGTTCTCGTCCAGCATGTCCGGCTCTCTCTTCATGCATCTCCCGCAGTATGATTTCGGTGATGTGGTGGTCTCTAGGCAGCAAGATTGGCTCCTCACCACTTCGCCCAAGAAGGGTTCCTTTAATTCTTCCCTTTGATCTGAGCAACGTTCGCTCGTCCAAGTAAGGTTCCAGTTTATATAGCTTATTGTCCTTCGGCAGCTCACCCTTTATGACAGTTTGGATTTCTTTCTCATAAGCCTCTTTCTGCACTAATCTTATAATTGTCTGCTCAGCCGACTGTAGTTCCTCAGTGCTTAGCCTCTTCAGTTTGAGGCGCAGGTCTGCGGTCCTTGTACTGGATCCTAGCCACCAAATGAACCTTTTAATCCATGCCACCCCTTTCACCAAGCGGTACCATGATGAGTACCTGAGCCACAGTTTGGCGAGGGACCACTTTGACTGCTCGCTCACTGCCAGAGCAACTACAGATCTCTGGTGTACTTCTCGTTTCACCTCCAGTAAGTCGTTCAGAACTGCTGGCAGTTCCTTTCCCTTTGACCACCGTTCTTCAACACTGAGTAGAAAGTCAGGACCTCGTATCCACCGAGATCCTGCAACCAGGTCCAGGACAGGTAATCCCATAGTTGCATCATCTGCTGGGTTCAGCGATGTGCCGACATGTCTCCACTGGTCAGTTCTTAACAGCTCTTGTATGACTGCTATCCTGTTGGCTACAAACGTTTGAAATCGTCTGCTCGAATTGGCGATGTACTGCAAGACTAGCATGCTATCCGTCCAAAAATAAGATTCGTGTATGGTCATGGTCATTTCTCGGCGAATCGTTCGATCAGCGTTCACTGCCAGGACAGCTGCACAAAGTTCCAGCCTTGGTATTGTCAGTTGCTTGAGTGGGGCCAGCTTGGCCCGTCCATACACGAAAGAGCACTGGATACTTCCGCCAGAGTCTACCATTCTCAGATAGGTCACCGCACCGTAAGCAGCCTGCGATGCATCGCAGAAGGTGTGCAACTGTGCTGAGATGATTCTTTAGCACATGCTGCTTTTAGGCATCTGGGTACACTTAATTTCCCTAGGTGGGCCAGTTCTCCTAGCCAGGTGCTCCAGGTCGTGTGATTAACAGCCGACAAAGGTTCGTCCCACCCTAATCGACGCCTGCATTCACAATGAAATAATATTTTAGCCCTGATGATGAAAGGGGCCACGAACCCCAGTGGGTCATAAATAGAACTGACCAGGCTTAGTACTCCTCTCCTGGTCGCTGGCCTTGAGTTTGATTGCACCTTGATGGCGAGCTGATCACCTTCCAGGAGCCACCTAACCCCCAGGGCTCGCTCCATTGGCAATTTGTCTTGCCTCAGATCAATTTCCTTCAGTGCATTTTGCCTCTCCTCCGGTGGGATGGTAGCCAACACTCCTTTGTGATTACTGGCCCACTTAGTTAACCGAAATCCTCCACACGCCAACAGTCTTCGAAGCTGACACGCTAACATTGATGCTTCATTTGATGAGTCCAGCGACACGAGCAGGTCGTCAACGTAGAAGTTGACTTCCGCTTGCGCCACCATGTCGGGAAACTCGGATCTGTGGTCTTGAAATGTGCGCCGGAGAACGTAAGTTGCACATGAAGGGCTCCACACCCCACCAAAGATGTGCACCTTCATTGTGTAAGTTACTGGCTCTCTACTCAGGTCCCCATTCTCCCACCAGAGGAATCTTAACGCATCTCGATGTTCTGGCGCTACATGGATTTGATGGTACATAGCCTCCACATCTGCCATGATGGCTGTAGTTCCTTGGCAAAACCTAAACAGGACTCCAATTAATTTGTTGTTGAAGTCTGGACCTTGTAGTACCTGGTCGTTCAGCAATGTCCTTTTGTGTTTGGCTGCACAGTCAAAAACTATGCGTACTTTGTTTGGCGTATTTGGGTTCAACACCAGGTGATGAGGCAGATACCAGACCAGTCCAGTATGTGACTCCAACTGGCACTTAGGCACTGATTCAGCATATCCTTCAGCAAACAGTTTATTTATTTCCTCTACGTATCCTTGTCGCAGCCGTGCGTCCTTGGATAGTCTCCTTCGAAGCCCATCTAGTCGACGCTCCGCCACGGCCTTGTTGTTTGGGGGTTCCATGTTCTCATTACAGAACGGTATGGGAAATTTGTAATGACCATTAGTTTTGATGCCTGTCTCTGACCATAGCCTCAACACACTTTTGTCCTCAAGTGAATGAGCTGCTGACTGCAAGGCTCCTGTGTCCCCACTTCCCAGCTCCCAAAAAAGCTTAACTGTCTTTCCAGACGGGTTTCAGGACTCATGACAGTTTCGGTCATCAGGCATCCTGACATGCAAACTCCTTGTGCGTCTTGGTGCCCCACCGGTCCATTCACTGTCCAACCCAGTCGCGTTTTTATGGCGAATGGCATTCCATCCCTTCCTGCTCTGACCTCCAAGGGTACCAGGGCTTGTGGCACATCTTGTCCTATCAGAATTTCTATGCTGTTGCTCTGCAATTCTGGTAATTCCACACCTCGCAGATGGATCCACCTTGAGATATCACTGTGTTTGCTACGGAGTTGTGCAGTGTTGTGGTGAAATTTTGTATAGTGAGTACTTTCGGCATAAGTATGGTTCTGCCTCGTTTCATGCCTGCGCCAACCACTTCTAGTTCTACCTCCACTGACTCGAGTAACATCTCTTGGGCAAGTGTACCCATGATTACCAGGGTAGGTGTCCCTTTCACCCTTAGTTTCTGTGCCAGATCTTTGGTGCAATACGACCTGTCGCTGCCTGAGTCCAAGAGAGCTAAAGTTCTGATGTGATTTCGTTGGTGTGAGTTCCTTCCCCCGAATCTTCACACTCACTATGGACAGTACAATCTTGGCATTTTTCGTCGATAGTCAGATGTCGCTTTCGCAGCTGTATGGGTTTTCATGGCCGTCCTTTGTCCCTGTAGCATAGACATGGCCTATTTTTCCGGCCATGTACGAACTGTCGTTGGCTTTCTGGGCCATGCCACCATCAGAGGTGCCTGCCATTGACTCCTGTTTCACGAGACCTTGAAAATTTCGCTTTACGCCACCCTTGTGTGTGTTTGACATACTTGCAGTAAGTGCCTCCCTTCGTTCTTGATGCAACAGTCTAGAATGCTTCTCTTTGCACCCATCAATGCCACACCTGAAGCATGACCAACACTCAGCAGCAAGGTGGCCCACTCTCAGACACAAGAAACAGCAACGTAATCTTTTTACCCTCTCTAACCTCTCCCTCACTGACATGCTCCGGAATTTGTCGCACCCTGCTAATCCATGTGCTCTGGAACACACTGGGCACGAGCCTTTTCCAGAGCTTGTTTCTCCTCCATTGCCTTTCGCTTCACTGATAGTCACTAGGCCCACGGCACGTTTGCTTGACGATGATCCTTCTGGTCTTTTCTTACTTCCTTCTTGACTGTCCTCGCTTGATAGCAGAGCCATGTCATCCATCGTCACCGCTTTCTCCTCCAAATATAGCGCTAACCACTTCACCAGCCCCGTTCTGCGTCCTGTCGACTTCTGATAATTCCGTACATCATCCACACAGCGTTCCCTCAATTGGGGGGGGAAGCTTAATCACCAGTGTTCTGAAGGTCTGCCTTGATTCAAGTTCAGACATCAAGTTCAGATTCTCCAGATGGCTTACTGCACCCCATAGCTGAGATGCCAGTTTTCCCAGCTCTTCGTCGTCGAACGCCCCCACTGAGCGAGCGTCTATGAGCCTTTTCACCAGCTGGTCTGCATATGCATACTTATTTCCAAACCTTGCCTCCAGGATCTTGATTGCCTTGTTGTAGGCTCTGTCTGGCTCTAGATAGTCGCATCCCATGATTGCTTGATGTAACTCTTCTCCTTCACAAGCATCCATGAGCAGTTGGTACTTGTACTTCTCTGGCACAGCCGCATTTGTCATGTACCGACGGAAGGCATGCATAAAGGTCCAAAACTCCGCCCGCCTTTGTCCTTTAAACTTGGGAAGGGTGGCTTGCGGCATGCGCATCGTAGCCACTAACTCTCTTATTTCTTCACCCTTCCCTGATTCTCGCTGTGGATGCATAATTGTGACTTGAGGCGCTTTGTTTGCAAGCATTGGCGGTAAAGACGATGCCGTTTTCTCGACATTGACCGATGCCTGTTGCTGGGTTTCTTCCCGGACTATTGGCTTCTCATAATTGCTGGAGTTCTCCATCGAAGGCTGTGAGCTGTCACTTCTTCGTGTTAGTGTTGATGTCTCTTGACCCGCCACCATTCCAGTGTGCATCGTTTTCATCCACCCTGCCTTAAGCTCTCGCAGGGCTCGGTTTACTTCATCCGACGCTGCCTCAGCTCTGGCCACTGCTTGTTGATAATCCAATTCCCTACTGTGACCTTCCCGTGGATCTCCTGGTATTGCAAGCTCATTTCCTGTTTCACCACTCTCTGATTGTACCTCGGCGGGCGGATCCATTGTCATTAGGTTAAAATGTATGCTTCCATCTAGGTCCGACTCTCCTTCCATGTCATCAAATACCCAATCTCCAACATCTTGCTTATTCAGGTAATTTGAATTGCATTCGTTTCCACCACTCTTAAATCAGGGCACGTTAATGTGCCTCGTCTCACCAAAATTATCAGGGCATGTTCGTGTGCCTCGTCATACACTCGCACATGATATCATTGCAAACTTTACATTGATATTTGGGTTATTTACAAAGCAATATCACTTCAGTCAACTATGACTGCTAATTGTGTTCTGCACTTACGTCAGACAACAATAATGACATGTGTTTTCATTCTCGTCATGCACTACACTGGGAGTGATGAAGATCACTTAGACAAGACTATTTTCTGGACTAACAACGTTTAACTATTATCCATGCGAGAAGTATACGGACATTGCACTGCACTTCTTTTCACTGGATACACACACATCCACACCCACACGCACACACTCGTCCCTCGAGTGATGCGTGTTGGTGAGCCAAGCTACGGCTACACTAAGAGTGGCTGAGCTCACTCTGACAACATTATTTTCTTCAATAACAAAAGGTTCAAATATTATCGCCACTATAAATCTACGGGCGTTGCACTGTAATCCGAGCATCCCTCCAGTGGGTTGAGTTGAGTTGAACTTGGCTACTCTGCTGCCTGGGCGTTGATTCAAGCTAGCGCTGCTACACAGTAGACATCCACGTTTGACTGTAACCGCCAGTCAGGCGGTTAAAAGATATTCAGACTCTTTACATTGGACACAAATATTATAATTCGGTCAAACCTGTTGAATACAATTCATTTAGTATTTCAAATAAGTCATACATAGGCACTCCTACATAAGTGTTTAATCCAATATATATTTACATAACAATCATGGCTATATAATTAGTCTAATCTTAACACTTACAATGAGTACTCAATTTACCACATTTCTATATTGGCACACTGATAAATGATGCAATGGACACAGTCTACCTGTGTACACAATAAGTACTAGTTAAACTTACGTGTTGAAAATCTAGAGAGAAATCAGGGTAGGTGTTGACTCTAAGATATGGGTAGCTATACTGAAATGCCCACCCTATAGCCTGGCCCCCTGGCTGGTCAGCTATGGCTGAGTCAGGTGATTATAATTATACATAAACAAACTCCCTTCACATGCTCCAACCTCCTTCTGGGCCTCTCATCTCCACCATCTTCGTACTCTACATACTGCATAGGGGCAGGCACACCCAATAAACATGACATGACTTACAGCCTAACATAATGTTTGTTTATGTGTTTGCTGCTTGCGGTAACACCGTGTGTTAATTCTTTCCCCTGACTTATGCTAAGTGAACGTATCTAGTCAAGGTTGATTCAGTGTTAATTTTGTCTTCTATCTGGTGCTAAGTTGTTCTGACCTCACTAGGGGGAAGGTCACGGCAGGGTTAGCTCCCGAGGGATAATTATCAGATATAGCCAGTGCTATGTGTGGTCTGGGGTGTGCGAGTTTGTTGGCCAAGCTGGAGAGGGCCAAGGAAGAATTGGAGAGGGCCAAGGAAGAAATAGAGAGGGCCACGTTGGAGAACCTGAAATTAAAGGAAGAGCTGGCGAGGATGAAGGAAGAGGCTGGACAAGGAAAGCCAGTGTCTGACGAAAACCCAAGTGAGTGGAAGGTTGTGAGGAGAGGGAAGACCAAACTGGTGATGAAAAAACACACCAAGGATACGTCAACAACGTCATCAACAGCTAAGTGTACCAACTCGTTCAGTCCCTTGATAGATGAACTGGACGTTAGTACAGTCAGGGACAGGGCTGACAAGGAAGGTATAAAAACTTTAATTGTTGGTAACTCACAGGTAAGGTACTTGGATAGGGCTTTTTGCGATAAAAACAAAAATAGGATGAGGGTGTGTTTGCCAGGAGCTGGGGTGGGGGATATAATTGACAGGATGGACAATATCTTGTCTGGTAATGGGAGCAAACCCATTATCTGCCTCAGTGCAGGAGGCAATGATATTGGCCTGTGTAGGAGCGAGGAGCTTCTTGATAAGTTCAAGGCAGCTATTGATCATATTAAGACTTAGGGAGGGATCCCTATCATTTTTTTTTTACGGGAATTAGCCCACCCGGGCACAGGTCAAACGACCCACAACGGAGCCTGGAGGGCGAAAAAAAAAGAACGGAAAGAAATTGTAAATATAGATAAAAAGGTTATACTGTATTAATCTACACCACGAAGATGCCGGAAAACCAGCTTTTTAAAGTGAATGGTTGTCAAGGGCAGTTGGTGTCAATGACTGTCTTGACAGATATTGCAAGTCAATATCAGTCCCATTCATTGACAACTGGGACAACTTCTACGGCAGAAGGGACCTTTATGCTAGGGATGGGGTGCACCCATCTCGGGATGGGATGGCAACCCTGGCGGGGTCTCTAGAGGGGGCAGTTCAAAAGATATCGAAGTCTTTAAACTACTGGGGGAACATATGGGCACGGGGGTGGAGGAGACTGCAGTGGGAGAGGGTAAACAAAGTAAAAGGTTACAGGGAAATAGTGTTAGGAATGATGACAAAGCTAAATTAGACAGAGTTAAGACCTAAACGCAGTAAAGGGAGGACTCAGAACACGACTAACCTAAATGTCTACTACGCGAACAGTAGAAGTATGAGAAACAAAATGGATGATATTTGGACCTTGGTATGTACCGAAAAAATCGACATAATAGCATTCACTGAAACATGGATCAACCTAGACTCAAGTGAGTTACCTGTCGAATACCAAATTGCGGATTACAAATTGTTCCATACCGATAGGCCGTCCAGGAAAGGAGGCGGAGTAGCAATCTATGTCAGGGATAATCTGAAGTGTGAAATAAATAAGGAAATAAAAACCGAGCGGAATGCAGAAACAAACTGGATAGAATTAATTGACGGTAGGGAAAAATTAATCATAGGAGTAATATATAGACCTCCAAGTCTTGATAGAGTTAATGAGCGACTTATCTGGGATGAAATGCGCAGGGCTTCCATACACAACAAAGTCTGTATAGTAGACGATTTTAACCTTGGCCAAATAGATTGGACCTTACGGGTAACTCAGTATCAGAGGATTTCTTCGAAACGATCCAGGACTGTTTCCTAAATCAACATATAACCGAACCCACCCGGGGTAATAATATACTCGATTTAGTTCTGTCGAACAGAGAAAACCTCATTAGCAATTG